AGGTTTACGGCAAATTTCCTCGGGGATTTTTCACTGGATGTGGGGATTGGCGAGGTCATGCATGGGACAACGCAGAGACTGTCGGCCACATCAGCGAATGCCCCTATTTAACGTCACGGTCTCCCAAGTTTCCTGCTGTACATCCTAATAAGATGGATGCACCCTGTCTCCAGCCAGGTGCACATCACGTGCAACATGAAATACGATGAAGCGGACAACAACTGACGAACCGCTGCTCAGACTGTACTAATACCGAACACATGTCAGTTCGTAATGACAGGATCCTATGTCCTCAGCTGCAGGCCATGAAACCGGTTTCTACGTGGACGGGCGATCAAATTGAGAGTTAGTGTCCCATGTCAGGTAGGCAAGCACTCTATGACGGAGCAATTGGGACGGTTAACAAAGACTGCGAAACTCCTGTCCCTTCTCGTCTTCTTCCCACTTGCGTTGGACACGGGAAAAAGCATTCTCAGTACTACAATTGGTTATACGCTAAACCTATTTCCGTGTCATGGCTTTAACCCAAACTCTTCTAACCCTAGCCNGGCTAGGGTTAGAAGAGTTTGGGTTAAAGCCATGACACGGAAGTAGGTTTAGCGTTTAACCAATTGTAGTACTGAGAATGCTTTTTCCCGTCTCCAACGCAAGTGGGAAAAAGACGAGAAGGGACAGGAGTTTCGCAGTCTTTGTTAACCGTCCCAATTGCTCCGTCACAGAGTGCTTGCCTACCTGACATGGGACACTAACTCTCAATTTGATCGCCCGTCCAAGTAGAACCCGGTTTCATGGCCTGCAGCTGAGGACATAGGATTCTGTCATCACGAACTGATATGTGTTCGGTATTAGTACAGTCTGAGCAGCGTTTCGTCGGTTGCTGTCTGCTTCATCGTATTTCATGTTGCACGCGATGTGCACCTGACTGGAGACAGGGTGCATCCATCTTATTAGGATGTACAGCAGGAAACTTGGAAGACCGTTACGTTAAATAGAGGAATTAGCTGATGTGGCCATCGGTCTCTGCGTTGCTCCATGCATGACCTCGCCAATCCCCACATTGAGTGAAAATTCCGCGAGGAAATTTGCCGTAAAACTTCCGTCAGTCAAAACTCTACCATTTCACTGTTTCACGGCATTTCTAATCAGGGGGTATTTTTTAGCTGAAATTATATCATTCAATTTTTGTGGGATTCTGGTAGCACGATTCTGCCACGAGAACATGGAAGAAACTAGGGAGTTCTGCATCGTTTCTCCCTCCAGAAGGACCATTAGTATAACCACACAGACGCTCTCTCTCTCTCGTGGCAAGAGGACAGTTCCGCCGAATTTTAAGTGCACTAATCGACAAAGCAATTTAAAATCCAAACTCCGATTCCAGTCACACACGTACAATGAGGACGGCCGGGCATCAACTCTATCGATTAATCCGCTGCCACTGTTCCGAACCAATTTTAAACACCGAGAGAGTGCAAATCGGTAATTCTAAATGTGAGTCGAAGATCAGAATCATCGAATGCAATTGGCGAACAAGGTTAGCTCCAGTACAAACCACAGCGCCTTTTTTGTGTTGAGAAATCTTGTGATGTTATGGTGTGTGTAAATCTAGGTTCTTCTAGGAAAATTTGCCGGATTGACTTTCCGGATTTCTAATCGCTCCAGAAATAAGTGGGTCAACTTGGAATACATTCTTCGTGATGTAGCTTTTTATGCATTATCCGGTGGCTGATATGAATATTTGGGCCGAAATCCGTCAGCTTCAGTGGGATAACAGCGTGCTACTCATAGATCTTCGACGGGCAGTCAGTACTATGCATACGTTGCATGCTGCCAGTGTAGTGGATCGTGCAACATGATTGAACTTCTCACGCCGATACGAACTATTGGAGAAAAATAAATTAAGTTGATCAAGTTGGGGTTTAAGATTACTCGTGTGCTCAGAATTACACGGAGGTACGTAGACAGTACTGGCAATGCACTTTTTACGGCGTGTGCTCTTTTCAAAGGGGTTTTTTAACTGGAGAACTGGTGTAGGTATTTCAACTGGTTCAGATCACAGATAGGACTCTGTTTTCTAAATGTGCCATGAGCGTGATAGATGCATTCCTCGAGGATTTGAAATTTGAAACTGGCATAACTTCATGAGGTCGATCAGCTACCAGGGAAATTTGGAAGATGGATTTTTTTTATGCGGATGCCAGCTCATTACGCATTATCGAAAGGCCCGCAAACTTTAAAATACAACCAAAATGGCTATGCTATCTGGTTGAAAGGATCTGTAATGTACTTCATCTTTCATTCTTCTCAGCGAATGGAAAGTTTTCTCAGGGAATGATAGCCTAGTTTCTCAAGACACTACAACCTGTATCTGAACATTCAGCATGAAAGCTAACGGAGGTAGAGTGGGTGAAAGTGAAAACTATTTGCCACTGCCTTTCGGCAACAGCAAACTATCTCAATGACCGCAGAGAATTAGCAACTAAATTCCGCGCGTTTCACCGAGTTATATTCCGCTGTCCAGCTGGGAGGAAATCCAGATTCGGAACTATAAGCTTGACTCGTGTAAGCCGCTGGATCATGTCATTATTTTGGTGTTGTCATGGTAACTCCCGGTTCACCGGCTCACAGTCCATTCCCCATCCGTTGCATCTTCGGCCCGTTTGTATTGCTTCACTTTTCTCTCAGTTGAATAGATCGTTCATTGAAAAGTACGCACGCTTTGAACTTCCGGGTAGCACATTTTTATACACGACAAACGATACTACCCTCTATGTATTAGTAGCATGCTTATGTATTATTAAATTTACATTGATCGCAATCGCCAGCTTGACTACGTTAACCAAAAGGGAGCCGGGTTTTGCCACTGAAGTCCGAAGCAATTGCTGTCATCCAGGATGCCTCATGATTCGTCGAAGCACAGTAACAAACACGACGGAGTCAGTGATTCGGAATCTCAAATAAACGTCAGAATGATTGCAATGAACGGTTGTCTAAAAGTCCTTTTCCTGATCACTGTGGCGCATGGAAGTCGGGGTCCATTGAATTTAAAAAAAAGTCTATCAACTAAAAAGAAACTGTATTATAGTCAGACCACCGGAGAGCGTACAGGGGGTTTGCGTAATTCACTTGCCATGCGTATCTTTTCAACCACCTCCACGTGGCACTGCCTATCCTGGTTTATTTGGAACCTAAGTCCTTAAACAGCATTATGGTGCCTCCAATGAGCACGTTTTGTCCTTAACTCAGTAATAGGAAGCCGTCCGTGTTAAGGATGATCCCGGATCATCCAGAAGAGACCCGCTTCGTGAAACACAGTGTTTGATGATCTACCTGCACCATTCCCATTACACGCATAAACCATCCAAGTCTTCCAGGTCCATTCTAATATTTTGTAAATTTGGCAATGTCCTTAACCAGCTACCCCAAGAGAAATGCCGTTTCTCCTAGTGGGGATGCATGTTCAGTAGGTTGGACTGAATACTTCAGATAGAGCACTTGCTTATAATTTGCGACTTCAGTAAAACTTACCACACCGAGAACCATCCGGCAAAACTGCCTTTCTGGCAGGTTTTAGTGAAGCCTGCGCAGTCATACACGATCCGCCAGGATCGGCATGTAACTGCAAAAGCAGTTGACTAATTCCTGCCATATAGACAACTTAGAGGGCTTTCGAGTTGGAAAGCGATCCTGAGTTAACATTTCACAGCGCCGCACGGCCTGGGGGTCTGCATCTGATTAATCCGAGGTAAAGGCATCTGCAATGCCTGAATGAAATTCTTCAGGATGGAGTGTGTACGCTGACTGCCGCCGCCCCAACTACGGCTAGCATGCGTTACAGCAGACACATCTGGTAGTTCAACGGTCAATTTGTAGACGGCCCTAAGCCCCTCCCCCACTGACACCCACTTGGCGACCGGTGTCTACTAAGTGGATAAGGATAAACTCAGAAGAAGAAGAAGAAGATTCGATCACTGGAACAAGACGTTTATTGGCTTGGCGTGTCAGATTCCCACTCCGACCCAGTGCTACCTACTCCGCAGGGGACTGGGTGAGGAATTAAATTAGCATAGCGGTCATCTGGTCTGACGGTCCTGTCGAAGAAATGAACTTGTAGGGAGTAGTATCGGGAATTTTTCCATTGGAAAATTCTACGAAAAGCCCCAAACAACAATATCTAGACTCGTTCACTGCCTGCGTTAAATTGAAAAGAAGGCTCAGCATAGGTGCATGCCAGTAAGCGTACCCGATGGATTCAAGAAAATATGACATTTAATTAAAATGTTACTTAAATATAGCAGGTAGCATCATAACAATAGGATTCGTCCGGTTAGCAGAGGTCGGGTGGTAATTTAGTGGACCCGGCTATACAAATCCAGCTTCCTATTAAAGAACTCTGCATCTCCTTCAGGGATATTCGTGTCCGAATGGTCATTCCGCATCATCATATCCTCACCTGCCCACGCCCAAGTTTTTGGCATGGGCGACGTTTCGAGTCGTCCACTACCCTTCATCAGGTTGGTATTGTCCCAATGCCTGAAAGCCTGTCTTACACTGCGAGAACCAGGCAGTGTTTGGCATGCGTAGAGAAGCTGTTTAACTTTGGCACCTTAGCCTACATCTGGTCGTGATTGCAGCAAGGTTGGTGGGGAAGAAGGCGATGCGACAGATGCTTCGAAAGTCTGCCCCACCATAAATTACGTCATCAGTGTTGCAGCAAATCAGTGAGGCACACAATGAATGTAGTCGCCCGCGAAGGTTAAAATGCCATTGGCCAATGGAAATCAGAGCTGCAGCCAATAAGTTCTCCTTTCCTCAAATCCTCTCATTCTCCCTCACTACTCTTATTTACCAGTCCTTCACACTGCCGGTATAACAGCCATTGACCCTTCCGTTTCCAAGGCAGGAACAAGGAAGACGTGATCGCGATGGACTACGTGATGTTATTAATGATTAGCAGAAAACATTTATTATGCTTTCCTTTGGTCCTCAGGGAAATACAAGGGCTAGACGCGCTTGTAGTATCTGTGGGCAACCAGTTCATCCACCTGAACAGTCTACAATGCAAGAAAAAGAAGTCATCCGTAAGTTTCAGCTAACAGAAAAATATAAGAAAAAAAAATGCAGTCAGTCAACACAGGGGTTAGTCTTATTTGCGCTACAGTTTGGGGGCTGAGTTTCAAGGAGGGAATTGAAGCCACGCCGCAGATAGAGCCGTTTCAGGATTGTCTTGTTTAATTTCCGAGGAAATTAATGTGCGAACATGGAGTAAAACTTTCGGAAGAAACCGTCTCAGGCACGGTCCGGAATTCGATATGAACATTTGCGCTGAAATCAAATAACTACTGCGTGTAATATTCACCAACCTCCAACAGGCAGCCGGTAGGATAGAATTGTGTAATTATTTACCGTATCACCAACACAGGTATTAATAAAAAGACCAGACACGCAGGTTTCGCCGATCTCCTATCGCTGCCTGACGCAACTGCGAGGGGTTCGGCTCATCAGCGGATCCCCCAACTTTCCCCGTGTATTCTCTCTTATATGAACTCCAGTGTTGGGAGAACTGTTAAGTGGTTTGAACAGGAACTTCGTGCTCGCTTCAAAGCTTGACTCCAAAGCCAGCCGCTGAGAAGACAAAAGATCTGGTGTTCCTAGCCAATTTGCTCGAAAGGTTGATTGACGACCTGTCCGTCCATGTCCAATGCATCCGCAATCTCTCCCTTTACCTCTGAAACCTCCAAACATTTTAAATCTGGACATAAATCTTGCAAGGCTCACACCGACAGTAGTCGTTGGACACAGGCAACTCGCCATCTTCATGCAGGGACGGTGACTTGTGCGTGAATTAGTCTACAGTGATAGTCGACTTGCACAGCATCTACCACACTCTCGTTTCCCCAAACCCCACCTGCGTCGGCTGTCGAAACATAGTCAAGAAGATCGAAGGCAGGGGAGGGTGCAGGTGGATGGCACGGTAGAGCCCGCACCTTGACATCCCACTCCACATCCCCTGGTCCACACAGCAGATTACCAGGTTTTTGACCAAGAACAACAATGGGGAGTGGGACCGCAGGGGTTCCAGTGTGTACGACATCTGCCACTACATCCCCGAAATGGTGGCATTTGTCATGGTGCGCAATCTGAAAACGCCTGCCAAACTCTGATATAGCCCCCCTGTTAGTCCAACGCATCCAACACATAGCCTGTTTAGGAGGCCATCTCTCTATCTCTCAAACACACACACTCTCAAGTCCTCACCCATCTTACATCTGCATATACACCTTGCAAAGCTCTCAAGGTCGGTCGTCTTGTAGTCAAGGCAACTCACCATTTTCATGCAGTCGCCCTCCACCGTTCGTATGAGGGTCGTCACCTTGTCCCCCACTTGCGTCGCCTTCAACGCACCTCCGTCGAGGACGATGGTGGTCTAAAAGACACCACAGTGGACTAGAGCGGCGGCGGTTGGGCGGGTACTCACCTTCACAACACGACCGTCCTGCGTCTTCTCCTCGAACTCCTCACCAAGCTTGAAGGTCACCTTGGAGGTCTTGAATGTGCTCGCAGTGGTGATTGAGTACTCCTCATCACCGGACTTCTCAATGGTCACTGTGGGGTGCAGGGTGTTTGCGGCAGTGCGAGCAGCCAGTCCAACATCTGTGGATTTGGAGAGAGCCAGACAGAGAGAGAACAGCAGAGTAAGTGCATTGGGGGGAAGAGAGATAGAGATAGGGGGACTGGTTAGGGATCGACGACTCACCCAGACGCTGCAGAATGGCATCAAAGCCCTCACTGCTGGTCAGCTTCCAGGATCCGTAGAAGGCTTCCATTTCAAATGTCGGTGAGGGCTGATGCTGGTTCCAGGTGAGACGCTGTTGAGGCAGTCCGGTCAGTCCGGGCTTTTATACTTTCCTGAGAGGACCCTTCTTTCGGTAGGAGAGTGTGCCAAACGGTCCAAATACGTAAGTTTGCTTGTTTTCGCAGTTTAAGTCAACACTGACATGTCGCGTCAATGTAAAGTAAACAGGACCATATCCAGACGAGCGTAGCATGTGTTACATGGGGACTAATCCAGAATAAACTTGGCACTCGCAGCAGTGACCACATGAAAGACGTTGTGCGTCTGGCCATGGTCTAGTGCAAGTCCCGTTGCGGGTTTTATCGCGGTGAGCGGAAGAAGGAAGGGGGTCGGGGCGGGGCGGAGCTTTAGGTGGTGAACCAGCAAGCAGAACCCTAGAGGGCCTGCAGATGTCCAGAAACGTTTGTCACAGAGCCGAAAATATCGGCGCAGTGAAGGTTTTCGCCAGTGCCTGATGTTCGGGGGCATGATAAAACTATTTCTTACCTGAAAATTAAACCACAGAGTACGGCTGTTCGGATCATCATGTGGTTAGTCGGTTGTCATACCTAATCCCCATCTCTAAGGTTGCCTTGATAGAACAGCATTACTGACAAAGACAAGGGGGGGGGGACTGGAATGGCCATCGTCAGCCAGTCACGCCGACATCACAACGAGTCCGTGGCTCAGTGGTTAGAGGCGTTGGACTCCTAACTAACAGGTCGCGAGTTCGAGCTTCAGGTGTTCCACACTTCGGGGTTGGGTATGACTGGCTGACGACGACTAACAAGCCAGAAATGGCCATTCCAGTCTCCGATACAAGCGAAGATGCGAGTTCTAGGAACTAGTTGAATAGAAGAAGAAGCAATTGCTGGAACAATGGCTTTATTCGCCTGACGTTTCGGATTCTCTCTTGAATCCATCATCAGAGACAGTTGCAGAAAAGGGTGGCTCGTGTACAGGAAGTCGCAGTATTTATAGGATGCGGTTGCCATGCTGCCGCATACCTACAGCAATTAACCGTGTTCCCTTCATCAAGGATTGTTGTCCGCTGGTGCGCTAATTGACGCCAACTCTCAGGTCGCGGCCCATTCAACGAGACCCGGCCACACATTCAAGTTCGATGAGGCCGAAATTCTCGCGAGAGGGGATAATCGCGTGAGCCGCGAATTGCTTGAGTCATGGTTCACGGGACCTCAGTCTATCAACAAGTGCAACGACATTCCCACTCCATTTTCTGTGCTGAGGCATAGACTGGCCAAAGCAATTGACCACTTGAGGAGCACGCAGGCCGGTTAGCCAGATGACCGAGTAATTATCACGCCAGCATCGAACACGGGTGATGAGATGTCAGCAATTAACAACTTGCATGCCGGTCATCAAGCAATTAGCGCACCAGCGGGCAACAATCCTTGATGAAGGGAGCACGGTTAATTGCTGTAGGTATGCGGTAGCATGGCGACCGCATCCTATAAATACTGCGACTTCCTGTACACGAGCCACCCTTTTCTGCAACTGTCTCTGATGAGGGATTCAAGCGAGAATCCGAAACGTCAGGCGAATAAAGCCATTGTTCCTGCGATCGCTTCTTCTTCTGATCATTCCAGTCTCCCTTGTCTTTGTCGGTAATACCATTTCACCTATATCATATGCCGCCGTGCGGCTCTTGGTTGGGCTCGAGAGAGAGAGAGTGAGAGAGAGCTATAAGGCACAACGGGACGTGCGAGTTCCGTAAAAACGATCGGTGAGCGCCCCTCTACCATCGCCTGTCAGTACTGGTAAGTCCTAACTTGCATAGTGCCTGACATAGTGATGGATAATGCACGTTCAGAACGGAGACGAAGTGCGAGAACTGTTGTAATAAGCTGGAGAGGGATTTGAGCACTATAACAGGTCAGTGCATGACTGAAGGTGTTATCGTCTACTGGGGACAGGTTGGCAGTGCATTGGAGGTGCTGGCAGCATTCCTCTGTCCCCGACGGCTTCCGTGTTACGATGGATTCAGAGGTGTCCGAAAAACCCAAACCTTGCCTGAAGTCCCCCGGGAGGATATATCTTCGGTGAAGGTGATGTTCTGTGGAGCGCTTCTGTTGCGATTTCGAAGGAGGAATCCACCGGGACTGGAAACCAGCCACGCTGGCTACCGGATTTCCCGATAATTCACCTTTGTCTCGTCTGTTCGAGTGGATTCAGAAGTCGTTGCCTCATCGCCAACACTATATCACCACGCCTGTTTAGTCTGCTCAAGAATTTCCCAGACCGCCGATTAATTCCGGAGCATTTCGGGCCTGCGCAAAACCGGGGAACCTCATCTTGTGAATTGAGGGGCTTTAATTTGTACTGCCTTATGGCAGGTAATCGATGCAACAGTTAGCAGAGTAGCCAATAAAGCCTACATCGTGAGTGTGGAAAAGCGATTTCGCGCTCAGAAGGACTGCTTAGAGCTAACAACTTTAACAACTTGAAAAATTACGTGACTGTTTCACTGACGAAGAAGAGTCGAGCAACGGAACACTGCGTTTATTATCCTGAGCTTTCAGACTCGTATGGGAGTCCATCGTCAGATGTAGTGACAGAAACAGGACAAGCGGCAGTTATAAGGCACATAGGCTGCCGCTTGTCTTGTTTCTGTCACTACCTCTGACGATGGACTCCCTTACGAGTCTGAAAGCTCAGGATAATAAACGCAGTGTTCCGGTGCTCGACTCTTCTTCTTCTTCACTTATGCATACATCTGGAACTCGAAATTTTGCCTTCATTCGTGTTTCACTGACACCCACGGTCCCCTCCCCTCCGACGTCTGGACGCTAATTTCTGATAAATAAATCCGGGTAACCGTCTGATAATGATTATTATTATTATTATTATTATTATTATTGTTATTATTATTATTATTATGAAAGTTCGATCGTCGCATCGGGCGATGTCCATCAAGTGCTCCACAGCAAGGTCAGACAGGCACGGTAACTTGCGCGTGCACCAGTATAGTAGGGGTAAACTTGTGCAGCATCTCCCGCATTCACTTGTCCTCCCCAACTGGAACCAGGAGAACCGGAGGCGGGGAGAACGCAAGTGGATGGCGCGGCCGAACCTGCACCTTGGCGTCCCACACCACGTGGATGACTGAGCAGCCATGCACACGACCTCTATACCCAGCAGGAGCGCAAGCGAAGCTACTTCCAGAGAACCAGGTACCGCAGAATTGCCAGCAGACGCTAACAAACCCTGGGGCCGTGCAAACAAGAGAGGCGACAAAGTCGACTTTTCAGTACAAAATACGCGTGTATGGTAAGATTTAAAGACTTGGTAAAAGCAGTAACAGCTTAGACGCCAAACGTATCAGTGAAAATAAGGCATAAATTTGCATTTATTTATTTTTTTTAATAAAATGTGGTGTAGGAACTACTCCGAGGTAGACATAGAACCAACACATTCTAAGGTAAAGATTCCACCAAAAGTCCACGTTCTGCTCTTCGATCCACCAACCGGAAGGTTGAAATGCTTCAGATGAAAATGACAACCCTCGTTGTCCTCGGCAAGGTGATGACTTGTCAGAACGCGACCTACGGCGGTATTCGTCCTTCCTTTTGCTCCGTGCATAGACTTCAAGAAGGCGCTTGACAGCGTGCCACACCAACGTCTCCTACTGAAGCTCAGCCGTATAGGGGTAAGAGGCAAGCTTTTGAAGTGGATTGAAAACTTTTTGATCGATCGGTCTCGTAATAGTGCATTTTAGAGTAATAGGCAATGCCCTTGATGACCCTATTGAAAATGGTACATATAATATAAATCTTAAATGCACATCTTACTAACATTTTGTAAGTAACATAGTTGTTCACGGAAAACGTGTTTATAGCGTGGGACTGCGAAGGATGCGGCAGGCGGTCTTTTCAATTTACATATGAGTTAGAGTCGTCGTTTATCAAAGATCAAACGATCCAGCTGCCTTTTGAATACAGCCATTGTGTCAGATGTCACTATTTCACTTGGGAGTGAGTTCCACGGTCGAACAACACGCTGGCTGAAGGAAAACTTCCGATGGTCTAGGCATGTACGCTCCCGCTTGACTTTGTACGAATGGCCGCGCAGGTGACTCATGGTCGTGAATTCAAAGAAGTCTTCAGTTTTCAGCGAAAATTCGTGCCCGTGGATAATATGGAATGTCCGTATCAGGTCACACCTCATTCGTCTACAGGATAGGGGGAACAAATTTAGCTGGTTCAGTCTTTCTGGGTATGACAGAGTCCTGTGACCATTCACCAGTTTTGTGGTCCGACGTCGCACCCGCTCTATGGCATCACAGTCTTTCTTCATCCAGGACATCCATGCTGGCATTCCGTATTCCAGATGCGGTCTGACGAATGTGCCAAATATCTGTGAAGGCACGCCTAATCCAGTGCATGATGTTGGTTGACTTTTGGACGACTCTTTTGCAGTGCTGAGAGGGCAGCAAGTTTGAGCATGTCCAGACACCTAGGTCTTTGTGCGTGTCCACTTTTTAGTGGAAACCAATTTATGATGTACTGGTGTTTTGGGAAGAGCCTCCAACCAGATTCTAGTCGCAAGACTACACATTTGGATGCGTTTGACACTAGACGCCACTTGCTGGACCAGGCAGCCAGTGGCATCTCAGACTGTCTGTCTTGGTGGGCAGCAATCGACAGAGGTGACAGTTACGAGCGGAGTACCTCAGGGCTCCGTTCTTGGCCCTATCCTCTTCCTCATCTATACTGATGACTGCATCCATGGATTGGACTGCGACATTGACATGTGTGCTGAAGATATAAAGCTTTGGGCAGTCATCCGCAATGAGGACGATGAAGTGAACCTACAGGCAAACTTAGACCGACTCGAACAATGGTCAGGCCGCTGGCTCCTCCTATTTAATGTTACCAAATACAACATTCTGAGGATTGGCAGAACCCGCTCTGCGCACCGCACACGTACTATCTTAATCACACACCGCTGCCGCTGGTAGCGGTTCAGAAGGATCTAGGTGTGTGGATAACACCTTCACTAAAGCCATCATTCCACTGCTTGTAAGCCGCGAAGTCCGCGATGTTCGGCTTATAACTCATCAAGCGGGCTTTTGCGAAGTTTGACGAGGAGCGCTTTCGCAAGGTCTTCGGGATGTTTGCGCGCCCGCAGTTAGAATTTGCCATTCAGGCCTGGAGACCCTGGTCTGTCAAAGATCGTACCACCCTCGAAATGTCCAACGACGGGCAGCCAGGCTTGTCAGAGGTCATAAAAACCTACCTTACGAAAGTAGACTATCAAATCTTAACTTCTTTCCCCTGGACTACAGACCACTCCCTGGCGACTTAATTCAAACGTTTCGAATGCTACGGGTTCAGGATTGTCGCCTCGCATCCGGCGACTTCTTTCAGCTGGCCACCACTACTAGCTTGAGAGGACATCCTCTGAAACTACGTGTGACAGGGGCGAGACTGGAGGCAGGGAAGCCCTTCTTCAGCAACAGAGTGGTAAAGGCATGGAATGCCCTGCCTGTGGACATCGTCATGTCCTCATCCGTGGACTAATTTAAGAGAAAGCTCGACCAGTACAGGGATATGTACCTCCACAGCATCCGAAACTAACAAATTTTCCCTCTTATCAACCGCTCCAAAGTGTTTACGCTACAAAGAATGTTACTCCCTATATTTAAGTAGCATTACTTTTTGAATTTTTAGTTATCCGCTGATCGAAGCATATGCGCTTGCTTCGATATTACTAGGTCCATTCAGTACCGTACTGGTTATTGTACATTGTGCAATAATTTACCGTACTAACAACACAGGTATTAGCTAAAAGCCTACCTGTGTTGTTAGTACGGTAAATTATTGCACAATGCTATACTACTGGCTGCCTGTTGGCGGTTTGTGAATATTAAGCGGTTATTCCGCAGTAGCTGATGGATTTCAGCTCAAATATTCATATCAAATTTCGGACCGTGCCTGAAAAGGCCTGCTTCGAAAGAGTTACTCCAAGTTCGCGCATTAATTTCCTCGGAAATTAAGCAAGACTGGTTATTGTACAATTTTGACATAGAAGGCATACACAGACAAATTTATACCAGTAACCAATGCTTGTTGCATGTAATTACTTACCTAATTTTCATTGACACTTGCCATACACATTGTTTTTTATGACGTTATTGTAACCAAAAGGGCGTTCAAAGGCGCTCGCCTACCTTTCCCCTAATAAGTCTGATCTGATCTGATCTGTAGTCATTATCGGCGAGTGACTTCCACGTTCTGAGACTGGTGACCATTGTTGACCTCATTTTGACCGCTGTAGAGAGGGGCGCCTTGAAGCACCCCTGTGGCTTCATTAACCTAGAGGATGTCAGGAATGACCTAGGTCGGTTAACCTGAGAAAATGCGGTCAAACATAGCGGGAACCCATCCATAATCTGAGTGTCTAACGTTTATGTGGCAAAGTTGCGCTATTTCCGAGCCGATAGCTAGTGACTCTGTTGCGGAAAGAAGCAAAAAGACGAGTTCCAAAAAGCAACTCAGACGTGGATTCGGCTGGAGCAAGAGCTGTATCCAGATTCTCACTCGAATCCATCATGAGAGACAGTTTCGGGTAAGGATGATGGACTAACAAGGGACACTGTATTCACGGGGTGCAGTTACAATGCATCCATTTACCTGACCTAGTTGGTAGTTCCCGCGTTCACAGCCGGCGATCTTCCTTGATGCGAGTATTGCTTTCTCTTTCATACTCGTGTTGTTACTAGCCGTGATTTGGTCAGTGGTATTGACCAACAACATGATAATGACTCGACAAGTCTACTCACTGATATTGCTATTGAAAGAGTCGCTTGATCGCGTCCTTCTCGAGCGTCCAGATTTTCTGTTCACTTGTAAATCGACTGCGCGCCGGATCTCGTACAGTGGTGAGCAAATCAAATATGTCGGAAAAACCGAAAGACTAAACTGGAAGCGGCCGGCCGTGCCCAAATACCTCTCTAGTCTATTGTAATAGTTCCCCCACTTCGGGGCATCGTCTCCGTTCCGAACGTACATTATCCATCACTATGTCAGGCACTATGCCAGTTAGGACTTACCAGTACTGACAGGCAATGGTAGAGGGGCGCTCACCGACTGTTTTTACGGAACTCACTCGTCCCGTAGTGCCTTGGAGCCCAATCAGCAGCCGCACGGCGGCACATGGTATAGACAGAATGGCATTACCGACAAAGGCAAGGGAGACTGGAATGGCCATTTCTGGCTCATTAGCCGTCGTCAGGCCGTCACACCGAACCCCAAAGTGTGGAACACCTAAGGCTCAAACTCACGACCTGTTAGTTAAGAGTCCAACGCCTCTAACCACTGAGCCACGGACTCGTTATCCTGTCGGTATGATTGACTGACGATGGCTATTCCAGTCCCTCCCCCCCTTGCCTTTGCCAGTAATGCTGTTCTATCAAGGCAGCCTTAGAGATGGGGATTAGGTATGACAACTGAATAACCACGTGATGAACCGAACTGCCAAAACCCGTACACTGGGGCCATGGTTTTCAGGTAAGAAATAGTTTTATCATGCCACCGAACATCGGACACTAGCGAAAACCTCCACTGCGCCGATATTTTCGGCTCAGTGACAAACGTTTCTTGAAATCTGCAGTTCCTCTAGGGTTCTGCTTGCTGGTTTACCACCTAAAGCCCCGCCCCGCACCGACCCCCTTCCTTCTTCCGCTGGCTGCAATGAAACGCGCAACGGGACTTGCACTAGATCATGACCAGACACACAACGTCGTGCATGTGGTCACTGCTGCGAGTGCCAAGTTTATTCTGGGCTAATCTCCATGTAACACATGCTACACTCGTCTGGATATGGTCCTGTTTACTTTACATTGACGCAACATGCCACTGTTGACTTAGACTGCGAACACAAGCAGACTTACGTATTTGGACCGTTTGGCACACTCTCCTATCGAAAGAAGGGTCCTCTCGGGAAAGTATAAAAGCCCGGACTGACCGGACTGCCTCAACAGCGTCTCATCTCGAACCAGCATCAGCCCTCACCGACATTTGAAATGGAAGCCTTCTACGGATCCTGGAAGCTGACCAGCAGTGAGGGCTTTGATGCCATTCTGCAGCGTCTGGGTGAGTCGTTGATTTCTAACCAGTCCCCCTATCTCTCTCTCCTTCCCTCCCCTCCCCAATGCACTAACTCTGCTGTTCTGGCCCTCTCCAAATCCAAAGATGTTGGACTGGCTGCTCGAACTGCCGCAAACACCCTGCACCCCACAGTGACCATTGAGAAGTCCGGTGATGAGGAGTACTCAATCACCACTGCGAGCACATTCAAGACCTCCAAGGTGACCTTCAAGCTTGGTGAGGAGTTCGAAGAGAAGACGCAGGACGGTCGTGTTGTGAAGGTGAGTATCCGCCCAACCGCCGCCGCTCTAGTCCACTGTGGTGTCTTTTAGACCACCATCGTCCTCGACGGAGGTGCGTTGAAGGCGACGCAAGTGGGTGACAAGGTGACGACTCTCACCCGAACAGTGGAGGGCAACTGCATGAAAATGGTGAGTTGCCTTGACTACAAGAAGACCGACCGTGAGAACTTTGCAAGGTGTATGTGCAGATGTAAGATGAGTGGGGGGTTCAGAGTGTGTGAGAGAGAGCGTGTTTGTGTGTGTGTGCCCCTAAACGGGCTATGTGGTAGATGCGTTGGACTAACAGGGGAGCTATATCAGAGTCTGGCAGGCGTTTTCGGATTGCACACCATAACAAATGCCAACATTTCATAACAAATGTCATTATGTCGGTGTGCGGTGACAGACCCGGCTGCCGGCAGATGTCACGCACACTGGAACCCCTGCGGTCCCACTCCCCATTGTTGTTCTTGGTCAAATACCTGGTCATTTGCTTTGTGGACCAGGGGCTGTGGAGTGGGATGTCAAGGTGCGGGCTCTACCGTACCATCCACCTGCACCCTCCCCTGCCTTCGATCTTCTTGACTATGTTTTGGCAGCCGGCGCAGGCGGAGGTTGGGGAAACGAGAGTGTGGTAGATGCTGTGCAAGTCTGTTATCACTTTAGACTAATTCACGCACAAGTCACCGTCCCTGCATGAAAATGGTGAGTCGCCTGTGTCAAACTACTACCGACGGTGCGAGCCTCGCAAGATTTATGTCCAGACTTAATATGTATGGTGAGAGAGACAGAGAGACTGATGGTGCACTGGTCATGCATGACCACATCGTCAATCAATCTTTCGAGCAAATTGGATAGGAGTATCATATTCTTCCTCTTTTGAGTGGCTGGCTTTAAAGTCAGGCTTTGAAGCGGATAGGAAGTTCCTGTTCAAACCACTTAACAGTACTCCCAACACGAGTTTTTTTGTCTAACATAATATATTGAGTGTGTTCCTGTGTCAGAATCTTTCACGACTCCAGTCTGTTTCCAGCCAATCAGTTCTTCTCGCACAAACGCCTGCCGTGGTCTCACCCGGGGCTTGAGCGCATGAGCGGTCAGACGGTTTGGCCAGTGGGGACTGGCCTTTTGCCCTGTGTAGTGAAAACGCATACAAGTAGACGTTTGAGAATTAATCGACAAACCCCCCTATGATGCTGTGATCCTGCTCAACTCACATTCGTCCCCTAGGAAACAGACTGAATCATTCTGATAAAGGAAATATTTGGCTCTATCATCTCAACAGACCAATCATCGGTGGGTACACGCGTAATATGTAAAATTTGAAACTGGAGTTCATATAAGAGAAAACACACGGGAAAGTTGGGAATCCTCTGATGAGCCGAACCCCTCGCAGTTGCATCAGGCAGCGATAGAGGATCGGCGAAACACGCGTGTCTGGGCTTTTAACTACTTCCTGTGTTGTTAGTACGGTAAATAATTACACAGTTCTATCCTACTGGCTGCCTATTGGCGGTTTGTGAATATTACTCGGTTGTTCCGCAGTAGGTATTGGATTTCAACACAAATATTTATATCGAATACGGCGATGTGCCTGAGAAGGTCTCTTTCGAAGGATTTACTCCAAGTTCGCGCATTAATTTCCTCGGAAATTAAACAAGACAATCCTGAAACGGCTGTATTCGCGGCGTGGCTTCAATTCCCTCCTTGAAACCCAGCCTCCGAACTATAGCGCAAATAAAACTAAGTCCCATGCTGATCGGCTGCATATGTTCTCATAGTTTTCCGTCAAATGAAACTTACGGATGACTTCTTTTTCTTGCATTGTAGACTGTTCAGGTGGATGAACTGGTTGCCCACCGATACTACAAGCGCGTCTAGCCTTCGTCTTTCCCTGAGGACCAAAGGAAGCTACAATAAATGTTTGCTGCTAAACATTAATAACAACACGTAGTCCATGCCGATGACGTCCTCCTTGTTCCTGCCTTGGAAACGGAAGGGCTGTGGGCTGTTAAACCGGTAGTTTATCAGTATCAGTTTATTAAGGGAAATATAGGCGAGCGCCTTTGAACTCCCTATTGGTCACAAGTCATCGGAGAAAAACATTGATAAGTGGGAAGGTGAAAAAGGGATTTTGTGCATGCGCGCGGACAGCTGACAGCTAGTCAAAAAGAGTAATCATTGCCGGTTACTTACTAATTACGTGTAGTATAAACACGTGTAAGTTGTGCCGGTTATGTGAGTGGATGTGAGGATGGTAATTGGGAAGCTTGATGCGCGTCAAGTCTACACTTGAAGGAATTCACACGGGAGGAGATAACAACATCGGTGGGGAGGGCATTCCATGCTGCAACCACTCTGTTACTGAAAAAGAACCTTCGTCCATTGATTCTTGATTTCCCTGCGCGTAGTTTTAGGTGATGACCGCGCAAAGTGGGCGTGTTAGCTTGGGTGAAATAATCAGTGGGATCTAAACAACAGTCTAGGCCGTTGATAATACGAAATGTTAGCATAAGGTCACCACGTAATTGCCTATAGGAAAGGGGAAACAGGTTGGGAGTTGACAGTCTGGTTTCGTAGGGCAGTGCTCTCAGACCTTTTGTCATTTTGGTCGCCCGTCTCTGAACCTTCTCCAAGACGGTATAATCTTTGACAGTCCAAGGTCTCCACGCCTGTATGGCGTATTCTAGATGAGGTCGCAGGAAGGTGCCAAATATTTTGGAAAAGCAGTCAGGGTCAAATCCCATAAATGCTCGCCTAATGAGTTGCAATGTGGCCGTAGCCGATTTAGCTGCCTTCGCGCAGTGCAGTGTTGGTTTGAGTGAAGATGTAATCCATACACCCAGGTCCTTCTGACTGTCAACCTGCTGCAGTGGTGTGCCGCGTAGAAAGTAAGTCCTGGGCCTGGGGGCTCTGAAGCTGCCGAGTTGAAGAAAGTTGCACTTGCTTATATTGAAGGGCATAAGCCAGCGCTTCGACCAGTCCTCGAGTCTGTTCATGTTTGCTTGCAGGTGGTCTGCGTCTGCCGCATTGTGAATAACTTTCCACAATTTTATGTCGTCGGCAAACAGGATGGCATCACAGTCTAGGTCCTTGACGCAGTCTTTTATGAAAACGAGGAATAACGTCGGACGTAAAACTGAACCCTGTGGGAGGCCACTCACCACGCTTACATCTGAGGACTGTTGACGCCCGACCTGCACTCTTTGGGACCGTCCAGTCAAAAAGCTCTGGATCCACACAAGAAGGCGAACACGAATTCCAGCGTTTCGCAGTTTGTACAAGAGACGTTGGTGGGGAACGCTGTCGAAAGCCTTTTTGAAGTCGATGTAGATTGCGTGCACCACATTGCCTTCATCGCGTGCTTTATTCCAATGTTCGAGCGTAAAGAGCAGATTCGTGAGGCAGGACCTACCACTTCGAAAGCCGTGTTGGGCATCGGAGAGGAGGTGGTGCTGCTCGAGGAACTGCATCAAGGCCTTCTTAATGATCTTCTCCATGATTTTGCAACAGATGGAGGTAAGACTCACTGGCCTGTAGTTATTTGCAGACGCACGACTTCCACCCTTAAAAAGCGGAGTGATGGTAGCGGACTTCCAGTCCGAGGGCAGGCATCCAGTAATAAATGGCGTTTGGAAGATCAAGGCTAACGTCTTGGACATTTCAGGAGCTAGCTCCTTCAGCAGCTTGGCCGGGATTGCATCAGGGCCTGGGGAGGTCGATTTTTTAGGTTTATTAACTCATTCCGAACAATTGTTTCAGAGAAGAAGACGGCTTCGAGGGTAGGCGTTTCTTCGTCTTCAGGTTCACTTGTCACGACTGACCGGAAGAACTGAGAGAGATGTTCAGCCTTATCCTTGTCATCGAAGATTTCCGCACCCTCAGCCGTTCGCAGCAGTGGGACGGGATCTTTGTTCCGTGTTCGCTGTCTTATGTAGCTGTAAAGGATTTTGGGATTAACTATGGCACGGTTCAAAAGATTCTTTTCGAAGGCTTTCTGATCCCTGGCGATGAGAATTTTGACCCGATTTCTCTGTGACTTATAGCTGCTTCGGGATTCTGACGTCCGGTCCGTCAGAGATCTTTTCCATAGCTTCCTCTTCTTGTGTGAAAGACAGCTAATAAGAGTAGTCAAGGAGAATGAAGGGATTTTGAGGAAATGAGACACTATTGACAACAGATTAGAACTCCACTGGTCAATGACATTTCGACCTTAGTCGGCGAAGACGTTCACCGTGCGCCTCACTGAGTTGCTGCAACACCGGTGATTTGGTTTATGGTGCGGCAGACTTGTGATACATATGTCGCATCGCCTTCCCCCTCACCAACCTTGCTCCAATCAGGACCAGATGTGGGCTCATGTGACAAAGTTAAACAGCCCCCCTACGTATGCCTCCCACGGCCTGGTCCTTGCGGAGTAAGTCAGGCTTTCGTGCATTGGGGCAATACCAACCTGATGAAGAGTAGTGGGCGATTCGAAGCGTAGCCCTTGGCGGAAATTTGAAAGTGGCCAATTAAGGATATGATAATGCTGATGCGGAATGACCATTCCAGACACAAATATCCCCGAAAGAGATGAAGATGTGTTTAAGACGAAGCTGGATTTGTATAGCAGTGTCCACTGAATTACCACCGGACCTGTGTATGCTTGACGAATCCTATTGTTATCATACTACGTGCTATATTTCAGTAGTATGTTTAATTGCATCTCTTATTTTCTCGGATCCATCGGGTACGCTTACTGGCATGCACCTATGCAACTTTCGTCACTGGGGGTATGATTTCTTCCCCTGCACTCCAAACGACCACTGTACTACTGTTCGCACCACTAACACTCGAGACTACTCGCCTGTCTGTACAGAGTTGACGCCTTTCCGATGATTTGATACCTTTTTCAGTTTTTGTTATGTTTCAGTTGCTTGTATACAAATAGGGAGTTGAAAGCTGAAGACCTTAATTTCTCCGAAATAAAACAGAACTGAGGTCGAGAATAGAGACACGATACCATTGGAAATATGAGTCCCTTCTGCTGATTCTTTTTTTCAAGTTAACGCAGGCCGTGAACTAGTCAAGATATTGCTGTTTGGGGATTTTCGTAGGTTTATCCGATGGATAAATTCGCGATACTACTTCCTACAAATTCATTTCTTCGACCAGACGCCAGACGAAATGACTGCTATGCTAATTTAATTCCTCACCCAGCCCCGTGCGGGGTAGGTAACACTGGTCGAATGAATCGACGTTAGCGCCTCACAAAAGACGGACCGTGAGCAGTCAACGAGTCTCTCCTAAGGTCAAATGTTTCCCGCCGTCGAGCCGATCTGACCGCATCGTGTCCAAAATGACTGCCGATAGAAGAGAGCAAGCGAGCTCTAGGAAGCAGTTCAGAAGAACAAAAAGAAGAAGAAGCGTTTATTGGCCTGACTTCTCGGATTCCCTCCCAAACTCATCATCAGAGACGTCTCCGCTAATAAACATCTTGTCAGTAATCCTCTGCCACTAAACGTCTTGTTCCAGTGATTGGATCTTCTTCTTCATCTTCTGTGTCTATCCTTGTTCACCTAGTAAACGCCAGTCGCCAAGTGGGTGTCATTGGGGGGGGAGGGAGGGGGGCTTCAGTTCGTCTGCAAAGTGGCCGTCAAACTACCAGATGTGTTTGATGCAACGCATACTAGCCGTAGTTGTGGCGGCGACACAGTCTAATTTTGTACTTCCTGGAGAATTTCGTTCAAACATTGCTGTTGCCGCGACCTCGGATTAATCAGGTGCAGACTCGCAGGCCATGTGACACTGTGAAATATTAACTCAGGATTTCCTTCCAACTCTAAAGCCCTCGAAGTTTTCCATATCGCGGGGATTTGTCAACGGCCTTTGGCAGTTACAGGCAGATCCTGACCTGCGTGGGCTTGATTAGAACTTATCGAATACACAGGCTTACCGAACGGTTCTCGGCATGCTTTAAGGCAGTTTTCAGCGTTGTAGGCTTCGCTGAAGTTGCATATTTTGAAATATATGCAAGTATTCATTACGCCATTTTAAGATGCCAGCCTGCTGAACATGCATCTCCACCAGGAGAAACGACATTTTTCTTGGGGTAACTGGTTAAGAACATTGCCAAATTTACAAAATATTAGAATGGGCCTGGAAGACTTGGATGGTTTATGCGTGTAATGGGAATGGTGGAGGTAGTTCATCAAACACTGTGTTTCACGAAGCGGGTCTCTTCTGGATGATCCGGGATCATCCTAAGCGCAGACGGCTTCCTATTGTTGAGGCACCATAAGGCTGTTTAAGGAGTTAGGTTCCAACAAAGGCAGGATAGGCAGTGCCACGTGGAGGTGATTGAAAAGATACGTATGGCAAGGGAATTACGCAAACCCCCTGTACGCTCTCGGGTGGCCTGACTATAATGCAATTTCCTTTTAGTTAATGAACTTTTTTTAAAAATTCAGTGGACCCCGACTTCCATGCGCCACAGTGATCAGGAAAAGGACTTTTAGTCAAACGTTCATTGCAATCATTCTGACGTTTATTTGCGATTCCGCGTCACTGGCTCCGTCGTGTTTGTTACTGTGATTCGACGAATCATGAGGCATCCTGGATGGCCGCAGTTGTTTCGAACTTCAATGACAAAGCCCGGCTGCTTGCTGTTGAACACAGTCGAGATGGCGGTTGCGCTTCACGTGAATTTCTGAATATTTATAGCATGCTACTAACACATAGTGGGTAGGATCATTTGTTGCTGATAAAAATGTGATCGCAGTGAGTTCAGAATGCTCTCGATTGGCCTTACGTAAACGTCGGATTTCGAGTGGGCTGACAATTATTCCCAGTCCCTGTCAAGCTGGACTGTCGCAGCGTCCTATATAGGTAAGTTACTT